CAGAGGGACCCACAATGGCCAGACTCACCACACCCAGCCGGGCTGCTCCAGTGCCCAGAGTGAGGGTTGTGGGGATGAGCCCCAACTTCCCTGCCTGAGAGAGACCTGGGCTGAGCCTCTCTGCCTGTGGCTGTCTCCCCATCCCTCCCCTCACCCCTGCCCACCCAACCTGCCCCGGCCTGACCCCTACCCGCCCAGTGACAAGGATGTTGAAGCGGATCCTGTAGAGCTGGAACAGACTCCGGACCTCCACATCTGGGCCTCCCCCCAGTGAGTGGTTGTCCTGGGGCAGGAGAGAGTCCAGTGGCTGCTCTGCCCACTCCTGACTGGCCTGGTCCTCACAGGCCTCATCTTACTCATCCATTGACTCCATCCACTCCAACCTGAGTCCTGGGTCTCAGCCCTGAGTCACTGCTGAGGACAAAGGGGACAAGCAAGCCGGGACCTGCCTCTCAGAAGCTCCCTGCCTGCTGAGGGGATGGGGACAGAAGGGTCCCTAAACAGACACCAGCAGGTGGGGTGGGGGAGGTGGGGCCAACCTGGGGCTGTGGGGCCCAGAGAGGGGCACTCACTCTCCCCTGGGAGCCAGGGAAGACTTCCTTCCTGGAGCCCCTCAGGCTGGATTCCCAGGGCTCAGGAAGGAGCTCTAGGGAGAGACAGAGGGATGGGAGAGCGCAGAGGGGAGGGGAGCAGGGCATGGGTGGGTCCAGCCCCACATGGTTGGGAAGGGCTGGGGGGCCAGTGAAGCCAGGCCAGGAGGGTCCAGCCAACAGTGTCACGGGGCGTCACCTCCAGGCCTGGTGGCTGTGTGCATGTCTTCATGAGGGTGACGAGGTGACACGAGGGGGCAGAAGGATGGGACAGGTCTGCTTAGTAGCCTCAAAGACACAATACATGCAACGCAAGAGCCTTGAGTGCATCTGGATAGAAAAATAAAAGATTGAGAACTATTATTGGCACAGCTGGAGAAATTTAAATATTAGATCTACCTGCCAATGTTACATTTCCTGAGTTTGACAAGAGGACAGCGGTCACCTGGGGAAGGGCCTCATTCTCAAGACAGCGTTGAGAAGGGTGAGCGTCCGGATATCTGTCAATTACTTTCCAATGATTTCCTGTGAAATCCATCTAAATATACCCGGCTCTCTAGAGAGAGTGAAAGAAAGGAAGTAGGGCAAAATGGTAAAAAAAACAAACCCAGTGAACCCAGATGAAGGCAATATTGTTCTTCATGGCACTAATTGTTAAAATTTTCTATGGATTTTTGTAATCTTTCAGATAAAACCTTAAGGGAAAAGTAAAAAGAAAGCCCCTGTGCCATGGAGGGAGGTGCTGGAGGCAGGGTGGAGTGGAGGAGGGGCTGGGGTGAGGGGTGCCAGCTGCAGCAGGGTGTGGGGACAGATGGGGTGGAGGCCAAAGGGCTCAGGAGGGAGGCTGGATGGAGCCTGTGCTCGGGGACCTGGAGCTGAGACCCCTCCTGCCCTGGGACCCCCTCACACACACAGCAGAGCGTCCAGAGAGATGGGCCAGGCTGTGGTCTGTCCCGGCCACCACAGGAGGACAGGTGGAGGGAGACCTGGCTGAGGAGCAGCGGGTGGGCAGTGGGGCCGCACCTGAAGTTGTAGCACCTCTCCTGCAGCCGGAGGGAGTCGTGGGGCCGGCAGTCGGAGCCCCCGGCATCCAGGTCAGAATCCCAGCGGACATGGATGCCACAGCACCGCCCTGCACACAGTGCATCACTGCTCCACCAGCACGTGGGCCCCGGTCCCTCTCCCTGAGCCCTCCCACAACCGTCCCCCCACAGACCCGCCAGTAATGCCAGGCCCGCAAAGACCCCTCCAGCTGTGGCCATGAGGTCCCTGATGTGGAACACAGGGGAGTAGAGGCTGAGAGGTGGGTCGGGGCAACAGCACATGAAATAGATGCTGTCCCGTGTCTCCAAGGTATTGGAACTGAGAGGGTGTGGGGCTGGGGGCTTGGGCCAGGAAGGGGACAAGGAGGATCTGGGGCCAGCCAGGACCCACCATGCTTACTTGGAGAAGTTGAACTTGCTAAATGTGACAGTGTTTTTGATGAACAGTATGAAGTTCTCAGCCTGGACCAGCAGGGGCTTCCTGCAGGTGGGGGGAGGTAAGGGGCAGGCTCTGCTCATCCTGGGACCCTACCCTGGGTGTCTGGGACACTTACACAGGCTCAGTGTCCCTCCCCACAGGGCACCAGCCCTGAAACTCACAGGTCCTGTGGGTCCCATTGACCACCACGCACTGGCCTGTTTTGATGCCTTGAAAACACATGACAAACTCCATGCCCTCCAATCCCCACAGGGCCTAGGAAGGGAGTGGACAGGGTGCTGCTGGCAGAAAGAAGAGACGCAGAGGTACCACCGGGCCTGCACAGGGGAGCCACCCAGGGTCCCAGCACAGCCCACTGAATCCTATCCCAGGGGAGGCGCTGGAAGACAGGGTCCTCAGTTACCATGGCTGTGCATCCCCGTCTCCCCTTCAGGACAGTCCTCATCGACCTACAGGTCCCCAGTGGGATGGAGGGGGCTGAGGTGGTGAGAGAGCAGAGTTTCCAGGTGCAGGAGATATCTCCCCTGTGTGACCCAGACCCGTAGGGACACACTCCTCTGGTTCCCTGAGTTTGGGGAACATGGGAAATGTGGAAAGTACAGATAAAATGAGGTGGTCATAGGAGGGAGGGCAAGGAGCTCCCAGCCAGATAGGGGTGCAGTGCTGTCTCCCAAGACAGAGCGAGACCCCTTCCCTCCTGACAGTTCTGTCCCCAGGTGGGGGTGGGGGGGGGGACAG